AAGATGTCCTCTATTACCACTCTTATTCAACATAGTACTTGAAGCATTTGCAAGGGTGATGAGGCAAGAAAAAGAAATAAAAGGGGTGTGTACTTACAGAGTAACTACTTTAAAGACAATGATCCACATTGTAATAACTATTGTTATTCTCTTATTATTTGGTTATAACAATTTTTTTTGTTTTTTCATACAATAAAATGAAAAAAAAAACAAAATAACAGCCCTAAATATTAACACTCATCTGTTTGAAAATATGTGTGTAGAATCTTTTTAAAAGAATATGTATAGGAAAGGAAAAAGTAAAATTATCACTATTTGCAGATGACATTATCCTATATAGAGAGGTTTTAAAAAAAACACCAAAAGACTTTTTAGATTTAAAAAACAACTTAATAATGTAACAAGGTACAGACTTAATACAAAAAAATCAATAGCACTCCTGTACACTAATAATGAGCCCTCTGAGAAAGAAATTATGAAAACAATACCATTCACAATAGCATCAAGAAAAATTAAATATTTAGGAATTAACCTAACTAAGGAAACAAAACACCTTTATAATAAAAATTATAGTAATCTGAAAAAGGGGACCAAATATGACATCATAAAATGGAAAGATATCTCCCGTTCCAGGATAGGCAAAACCAACGTAGTCAAAATGGCCATACTCCAAAGTTAATATACAAAGTTACTGTTATTCCAATTAAAAATCCAACAGCATTCTTCACAGAACTGGAGAAATCAATCCTACAACTCATATGGAACGAGAAAAGATTCAGAATAACAAAAGCACTCCTCAGTAAAACAAGCAAAACAGGAACCATCGCAAACACAGATGTGAAGTTATATTACAAGGCTACTGTATTAAAAAAAATTGAAAAACATCATGGTAATGGCATAAAAACAGACATGAAGTTCAATGAGTCAGAACAGAGGATGTGGAAAAAACACCAAGCACATTCAGCTATCTGGTCTTTGTTAAAGGGACCAAAAACACACACTGGAGGAAAGATACCCTCCTTAATAAATGATGTTTGGATAACTGGTTGTCCATATGCAGAAAACTGAATGTAGACTTATATTTCTCACCATATAGTAAATGAAAATCAAAATGGATCAAAGAATTAAATGTTAAACCAGAAATATTTAATCTGCTGGAAGACAAGATAGGTAAAACTCTTGAAGTTATACACATAGGCAAGGACTTTCTGAACATTACATGGAAGTACTTCTGAAAATCAACAAACTGGATCATATTAAATTAAAAACCTTCTTCACACACACATACACATATATATATACACAAAAAAAACCAACAGAGTGAAAAAAACACTAAGGTATGGAAAAAAGAAACTTTTGCCAGTAATACTTCAGTCAGATGACTCATATCTAGAATATATGAAGAATACAGTGAATTTAGATATTCCAAAATAAAATACCTAATGAAAAATTGGGCAAAAGAAATGAACAGACACCTCACAGAAGTACAAATGAACAATAAATACATGATGAAATGCTCAACATCATTGACTATTAGTGAACTGAAAATTCAAACAACACTGAAATTCCATCTTACCCCAGAAATAATGACCATCATCAATAAATCAAATAATAACGATTACTGATGAGGCTACAGGGTAAGAGAAATTCTTCTATACTCTTGGTGGGAATGTAAACTAATATAACTACTATGGAAATCACTATGGAGAGTCTTCCAAAAACTAAAAGTATACATCCCATTTCACCCAGCTGTTCCCCATCTAGTTATCTTTCAAAAAAAATTAAATATGTCATATACAGAGATACATAAATTCCCATATTTGTAGCAGCACAATTCATAGTAGCTAAATCTTGGAAGTGGCCCATATGTCCATCAATAGAAGAAAAGATAAGGAAGATGTGATATTTAGTTACCCTGGAGTACTACTCAAGTGTATCCCATAAAGGATACACATGAGTGATTTCTAGGAAAATGGACGCATGTTGAGACCATAATGTTAAGTGAAATAAAGCAGACATGCTTAAATATCACATTCTTTCTTTTAGATGTGAAACCTGTGGTTAAAATAAAGAACAAAATAAATGATAGATAATAGGATGCAGGGAGATAAATTATGGTCACAGGGGAGAAGGGATGAAGAAATGGAGGGAGGGGCTGGGGATTTAGCTCAGCGGCACAGCACCTGCCTGGCAAGCGCAAGGTCGTGAGTTCGATTCCCGGTACCAGAAAACACTCCCCCGCAATAAAAAAGAAATGGAGAGAGTACAGAGGGAGAGAAAGGATAAGGGATGAAACAAAAAAGAATTGGGATGTGTTGTTACATGTAACAGCTCCATACAAGGAATGTAAACATTATTAACTGCAAACATGTACCAAAACAAAACAAAGAAAGGAAGTGGATCAAAGGATTTGGGGAGGAGCTAGGGAGGGAAGGGAAAGGGGATGAAAAAAAAAAGGAATTAAAATGTGCTATGTACATGTACCAACTTCCCACAAGGAATTAAACATTATGTACTGTACACATTTACTAATAAACTAAAGTCATTTTTAAAAAAAGATATGGATGAACTTTCTCTTTGCTGGGACAAAATACCTGACACTCACAAATTAAAGAGGAAGTGTTTATTTCAGCTCACAGTTTATGGATGTTTCAATTTATAGTCAGCTGTCTCCAAAGCAGTGCAGCATGGCAGAGAGACATCACAGAAGAGAAACAGTCCATGGCAGGACAGGCAGCAAGCAGCAAGACTTCCAGGCTTTTACACCATGTGGGCTAGAAACCTATTGGGAGGTGTCACACCCACTCAGAGTGGGCCTTCCCATTACTCACACTCAGAACTATGCTAAACCAATCATGGACTAATTCAGTATCACATACCCTTAATCCATATGCACACACCCTAGGTCCAGCCACCTCTAAAATGCCCCACCTCTGAGTGCATGAGTCTTTGGAGGGACATCTAGATACAAGACAAAATAGGGATGGGAGAGGGAAGGGCATGAAAAAGAATCAAGATATATTATGTACATGTACCAACTCCCCACAAGGAATGTAATTATTATTTACTGAATCATGTACTAATAAAATTTAAAGTGTTTAAAAAATAAAAAGAGAATTTGTCAAATGAATGCATACCTGTCCTGACACATTTTTATTACCTCCATGTTTGTCTTTATCCTTATGTAGTAGTGCTTATATTGAGCCCACTTTTCATATTTACCTCAAAACTTTTGAAAATAAAATGATTGAATCATAACTAGGTTCATCCAACAACATTTTGAGAATAAGGGTCAAAAAAGGGATCAAGAATGTGGAAAGATAGTCTCATTCACTGTGAGAAAATTTAAATGTCTTTCTGATTAAGAATGAAATATGCAATATGAAGTGTGAAGAGGTACACTTGAGTAGTACTCCACACTTAAATTTCGTACAGTCAGTCTTATCCCACTCAATTTGTCTAATCCCACACTGTGGTTGCTCGGGATGAAGCCACAAAAGTGAGAATGATAGGGCTTCCTATTTTGTCTTCATTTTTGTTTAAAAGGATGGTTTTGCCTTCAGTAGCAGAAAAGTATTCATCTTTTAAATTCATGATGCTGTTCATTTCAACTCACATAAACACACATGGAATTCTTTCACAAGTAACTGTTAAAACGGTTAATTTTTTTAAAAATTAAACTTCCTCATTAGGGAAATGGATGATTGTTTATGCACTTTTAAACACAACTAGATCATAATAATAATCAAAGCAAGTCTCAAAAGGAAAATGAATCTAGATCTTCCATTTTACCGTAATTATTTTCAAATACCTCACTCTCTGATCTCTACACCAATCCCCAAATTTTTAGGTCTCAGAAACTGACACTGGAAGGCAGCTAGAAACTTCTCTGTAGAAAGCTACCTGAACTCATCCTGAGGTACAGTAAGTCTAAGGAGACATTCTCCTTCGGCAAAAAATATGTTAAGGATCAACCCAAAACTCAGCAACGAAGATAAACAATATTTAATAATATTTTCAAAAGGTCAGAATTGATGCAAAAATGTCCATAAAGAACAAAATGTCAATATTTTAAACAAAAACAGTATTTTACCCTCAATCTGCATGATATAACTCATGCCAGTCTATTGAGGTTTTGGCACACTTAAATTTCGTACCACAAATGAGTGCCTCAATCTCTTATGCTAGTCCAGGCTCTTGAGTCTTGAGTACGTTCATGTGTGGCACCTACTCAATTCAGTTCACTATTACTTTTGGCTTAAAAATCCATTGTATCAGTACTTTTCCTTTAGACAAACCTCTGCTATTACAAACTTTCTGCGAGGTGCCATTGGATTCTTGGTGGACTCGCTCCAAGGGTGACAATAGTATTTTAACGGGTATCCCCGCCCTAGGTTCCTCCCCCACTTCCAGTTCCCTGTTTTGTTCCTTCTTTCCACCTGCAGGAGGCGCGCCATATTGGCACCCTCCTGCCAGCACCACAGCTCTGTTTTGGCAGGAAGCTCCCTCAGCCAGAGACATATTTCCACTCTTTTTAATTCTGAATAAGTGCTCCTGTCACTTTATCTCTTCACTCCTGCCAAATGTGCCAGAGAAATACTGTATCCCAGACTCAACTGGCTCTCAAAAGCACCCCTCCCCTCTACAAAGAGGTAAAGGTCGGGTTTTGGAGACTGTGAAGAAAGTAACTGCTGGGACCTGTCATTTCAACGTAAAGAGAAAGAAAAAGATCGAGATATCTATGGTTTTTCTTGCAGTCATGTGCGAGTACTATGCGTCTACGAATTTCGCGAGCTTCTCCACCCCACCGCCTGTCAGAATAGGCAGAGTACAAGGGTTTCGGTCAGGTCCGCAGGCCACACCTTCCCAGCCTACCACACCTCTTCTTATTGGCTTAACAGCCTGTCACTCGAATCTGGCTCCCACTCCGGATAACCACTCACGTAGTTTGGTTGCGTCTTGGTGTGTTTAATGTTGCCAATAAACGAGAAGCTTTTTTTTTTTTTTTTTTTTTTTTTTTTTAAAGAGTACGGGTCCTGCTGCAGTTAGTTCATTGAAAAACTCAGGTGCTTCTCGGAGTGATCAAGGAGAGACTGATTTCATATATTTTTCTGTCGCCTGTTAATCTGTCCTATAGAGAGTTGCAACAATGCCAAAAAGAAAGGTAAGTGAAATGGGAAGGTAGAAGGGAAATTAGTTGCTGAAATGCGTGTTTCCTAAGGCAGAGATTTTTTTGAAACGCATTTTAACTTTTAGTTTGATTCTGTGATGTGCTGAGTAGAAGGAAAGGGAATAGCAAAGAGCAGTCGTTTTAAATTTTAGGATCGTCTCTCATGCAACTGGTAGTTCACTTTTGGTGCGTTTTGTTTAGGGCGAAGAACTGCTTGAGAGGTGTCTCTATGCTGAATTACAAACAGCCATAGTGCTGTGCCGTCGTTTCCTAACCCCACCTCCTTCCTCCACTTACTGTATTGGAGAACGCTTCGCCCAGCCGCACTTTCAGAAACTAGTTTCCTCCTCTGGCTCCTGTTTTTCTCGGGCCACCGTCCCGTCTGGGGGAGCGAAAGCCAGGACTTTCTCCAGTCTTTCTTCCTTCCCTCCCTCCCTCCTTTCCTTCCTTCCTCCCTCCCTCACTCCTTTCCTTCCTTCCTCTCTTCCTTCCTTCCTTCCTTTCTTCCTTTCTTCCTTCCTCCCTTCCTCCCTTTCTTTATTCCCTCCTCCACTTCTTGTCAGGCCAAATGCCTATGAAATGGTAATACTGTGCCATTAGGCGGCGCAGACTTCAAACTGTCCTAGAAAAGAGAGATTCGCTGCTGTGAGTAGAAACTACGACTGCGATTTCCTCTCTCCCAGCTCTGTAGCTAAAGGTGGAAAGGTGATAAGGATCCCATCCCATGAACTACTGCTGATGTTTGGAGATAACAGAACATTTGTTGCCTTTAGACATGAAGAGCTGCTCTGAACTGTTTAAGAGCTACAGCTCTTTTGCAACTCCCACTTCAAAATTTCTGCCACCTCTCAGATGGCAGATAAGTTTGTGTTGGTTGTTTCTGTGCTTTGGGTTTGTTTGTTTGTTTCCTGAATCCCCTATAAGTGAAATGGAACGTGGACTTATTGCTTTGTAAGACTATAAAACATTGTAGTAATGTAAAGCTTTATGATTGATTTCATGTTATTTGTATTAACCTGTCTGCCTTCCATAGCCCTAACACAGGAACCGGGCTGAAATTCCCCAGTGCTCTAGAGCTATGAGTTTGAATCGTGCAATAGTTTGATAATTCCCAAAATATACGGTTACTCAGATATGGAAAGCAATCCTTTCTAATCACCACCCCTCTTTCTGAGGTTTCCGCCTTTGTGCTTTCCTGGACTTGTGCAATGGGTCTTGCTGTTTTACAGAGCTGACAACACAGGAACCAGCTATGCAGAAAGAAGTAGTGGGAAGTTTTAAAATCTGCCCCTAGCTTCTCTGAATACAGTGCTGCTGTTATCACAAGAAGGTTCTCCCTTCAAAGCATTGTGGGGAATTGCTCCTCTATGCAGAACGTGAAAAAGAGAATCAATAAAGAACGTCTTATAGGTACAATTGCATAGCAAACACAAATAAAGAGAGGGAAATTGCATGAACCTTCGCCTTCATTTTGCAGGCCCCCACTATTTATCTATCTATCTATTTATTTATTTATTTATTGGCTTTAACACAGTACAGCAGGTGTACTTCAAAATGAAAAAGGTTTGCTTTTCAGAGATGTTATTTACACAGAAGAATGAAATTGGTTGTAGGTTGTATAAACATATGTCTTGAGAATCCCAGTGTACATTTATACCTTAGTAGACAGAGGTATGTATCAGAACTTCTGGGAAATAACACATAATTACTTGAATAGGAACCCAGGAAAGAGTGGTAATTGGCTACACTGCAACTGTACTCCATAAGCAATATTTTCTGATCTATATGATCATACTGCTAATCTTATTTCTGTGTGCTTTTCTCTTCTTTATAGGCTGCAGATCAAGGTGACGTGAGGCAGGAGGTGAGTGTCTTTAGTTTTAGAATCTGTCCTGGGGGAAAATCCACTTGTTTTGTAAATTTCAAATGCATAAACAGCTGACAAAAGATATGTGTTGGTGTATTTGGACCATATGAGTTCCAAAATTGGATGTCAGTGAACTCTTTCATAAATATAGTAGTAATAAAAGGTATGAGCTTCTTAGAATTTAGGACCTTGTACTTTATAAGACACAGAGAAATCATCTTAAGCAATAAATAAATACATAAATAAAATTAGAAATTGTTTTGTCAGTTGTCAAGAAAGGCTTATATTTCCATTTTTAAATGTTTCCTGTTACTAGCATTTGTGTTAATTTACCCTCAATGAAGTTTACTTCAGGATTCTTTTTTCCTTAGCATAGGAAGTGTCCAGAGGAGGGCACAATGAAAATTTATATTTCCAGAATGTTATTTGCTAAACAAGTTAACAATTGCTGCTTTAATGAAAATATTTGTGTGATATTACACTAAATATTTTCACAACACTAAAAATAATCCTACTTTTGTGTATCCATAATTATCTTACCTGGTAATTCTTTTTTCACTTATAGCCAAAGAGAAGATCAGCTAGACTGTCTGCTGTAAGTAGTCATTTAAAAAAGAAGCACATGCATAAGGAAACGTCATTTTAAAATTTAGAGAATCTTGAATTATACTATATTTACTATTAGGTATATTTTTGAAGTTTAATGAAAAATATTTCACACTAAGGGAATATTTTTTCTAGTTTTCATTTCTAAAACATACTCATTTTAATTAAGAGGTTGGATTTCATTGCTAGAGATTTTTTTCAATTGTATTATATTCTGCTCTGTCTCTCTTTTTTCCATACCTATATATTTTTTGATGCAGATGCCTATGCCCATTATACCAGAGTTGAAACCCCAAAAACATCAACTCCAATTGAAAGAATATTCTATTTCTAATGTTGAGAGAAAAAGCTGTGCTTCTTTTGACATATTTTTGCAAAGGCACACAGCTGATGATTTTGCTTTATTTTTTGTTCAATTAGTAATATAGTATATTGCACCATGTAATATATATAAACACTTCAGGTGGGGAATTTTTTTGTTTTCCTGTTTTGGGATTCTTCACCATGTGTCAGCTTTATGTAGAGAGGCAAAACAGCATTTTAGTAAAATAGACCCATTAAATGCATATGCTTTTGATATTTCATAGTCACAGTACTGATATTCCTGAGAAAACAAAGGGTACAAAGTGAAGTAACTGGGGCTGGGGATTTAGCTCAGTGGCACAGCGCCTGCCTGGCAAGTGCGAGGTCGTGAGTTCAATTCCCGGTACCGGAAAAAAACAAAACAAAACAAACAAAGTGAAGTAACTAAAGCAGTGCTTTGTAGTAATAGTAGTAACCAACATGTGATATTGTGTACTTTCATTGGTACTTTCACATATGTTACATTAATTTTGAATAGACACAAGTGCTCTTTTACAGATTTCTATTCTCTGATGATGATATGACTAAAGGCATGTTAAAAATAGAAATAGCATCAAATTAAGTTCCCTATTATTTGCTTCATACATAAGGATATTTTAAGATTTGTTGGAATTTTTAAAATCAAGACAAACTAAAGCTGTAAGAAGTATTAGAGATCATATAAACTAATCATTGTGTAATTTATAAATTTAGAAACTGTTGTCATGTTTACAAGATGCTTTGAAACCTTTGATTAAAGAGTATTGGTCTTTCTAACGATATTGTTAAGATGAGGGCTAATGGGCTATTAGTAATAGTTGATTTATTAATAATACATAAATACAGAAAAGAGCATTTCTTTCTTATTTTTCTTATGCTATAATAGTCTACTTCTATGTTAAAACAACAATAATTAAATAAGTTTTTTCTACAAATTCTACTTTAAATTTTAAGAAGGGTATAAATATGAATACACACATAAAAACAAATATGTGATAATGAAATATGTATGATGAATTTATAACATTTTTTCTCTATTGTACTTTTTAACTGTATACACTTAAATTGGTAAGTACAGTTTAATTTATTTTAAAAAGATAAAGAAAGCCTGGAGGTGTATCTCAGTGACAGAGAATTTGCCTAGCATACATGCAGGTCTGGATTGGATCCCTAGCTCTGAAGTTCTGGGGCCCCTGGGGGTAGGGCTAGACTAAAACAATATGTAATCGTAGACTTTAAAGTTATATACATTTCTTAGCTCCCTGTCTCATTTGTTTAAACAGCAATTTAAAGTTTTTAATTCAATTTCACATATTTTACATATGCCTCTCATAAATTCTGTGCGCAATGAGTGATATTGCATTCCTTCCACATATGAATAAAGCAATTTCAAAACGTTTTATGCTTTTGCTTAAAACCATATCACATAAATGGCAGGCACAATTCAAACATGGGTTTTCTGCCCTTTAAACTCAATAGTCTTTCTACTAATTGCACATTCACACAGAGAGTTTTTTTGGTAAAGCAAGCATGATTCAAGACATTTCAAACATATAAATACAAAGATTGAGCCACCTATACCCCATGGTACTCTCTTAAATATGACTAAATTAATACTATCTGAATATAGCATTTCTCTTAATTACTATCATTGGAAGCTTTAGAATGAGTAAAATCGTATTGCTGATAATTAGACTAGACAGAGATCAATGGATACCTTCTCATCAGAGACAATAAATTTATTAGTGTACTGTGATGCTGGCAATTGGACTTTGGTGGCCACTGGTCACCATTCTAACTTGTTGATTCCCCTATACATCAATCAGCATAAAATCAAACTAATTTGACTTACATCAGGGAAGCAAAACTCTTTTTAAATGCTGCTTTAATACTTAAAATAAAACTAAAAGTGTTATGTTAAGTTTGTTATCAGTTTTTTCCCTCAATTATTATAAAAGTTGTTAAGTGACTTTGACTAATCAACAAAGCAGGTGAACTGTGTATTTATTGTTATTCTTTTTGTGTTGCTGGATAGATAATGAAGACCAAAAATGATATGATAGAAATAAACACTGATGCAAATGCCAAAATACTAGCTGAAACCAAGCAAGAAGTTGATAAACAAGACTACAACAATAAAAATGCTGAAAATGGAGAAAACAAAATTATAGAGGTATCTTTTAATAATGGATTCAAGTGAAGGAAATTTTATTTAACATTTAGTTTGAAAGTTGAGAAACATTAAATGAATAGTGGTTCTTTAGTATAATGATATTTAAAGACAAAATAAAATGATTTGTTATCAAAAAAACCAAAATTTTATAGCAAAATAAGTGAATAACAGTACTTAATATACTATGTATTATTATCTTCAAAGTATTTACTTAAAGTACAAGACATAGACCAAAAAGATTCTTACAAAGAAGAAACAAACAGATAATAACACAAAATTTTTTCATGAAGAAAATAATTTTAAAATATGAGAAATTATACGTGTAGTGAGAGCAGAGAGTTAGCCTTGCTATAGCTGCAACAATGTCAATGATCATGACTTAGCACCAACATGATGAACCCCTTATTAAATATAGGCCAATCTTTCATTGTTGTTGTTGATGTATAGGATATTTATAAATTCTTTCCCTAAGTAAATGTTTAAGTAGGTTTTGCTTTTTACTGTCCATATTCCATTTTTGAGTATTTTAGGAAAATACTGAAAATGGCATGTATTATGTCATAATCAAATGTACAATACTTAATAAGTAATCATTATGATATTTGGTGAAGAACTTTTAAAATAATTTTTAGGGAAAAGTTTAATTTTCCCATTTGTAGAAACTGTGTTATTTTCCTAATTCATGTTTGTATGCATGTTACTCACTGAGAATTTCTGACACAGAATAACCCTATGTCATATTTTATGTATTTACTTTGTGCTTAATCATATTTCTGAAGAAAATTATTTATATGAATAAGCTTTCCTGAATTTATTACATATATCTATGAATGTTTGTATACAGTCATTTTAATCATTTCTTAGAATATTTTCCTTATGTTGTGATTTTTCTACACCAAAATTGCATTTTTGTAAAAGAAATATTAATTTAAGTATGTAGGAAGAGCAATTCTAAAATACAATTTTTTACTGCACATTTAGACACCGACTCTTAAAAAAGAATTTGGGGAAGTAAAAGAGGAAAAAAACTATGACACTGAAGAAGAGGGAGGAGAAAACAAAGAAGAGGAAACAGAAGGAAAACAAGATGAAAAAGATCCGAAAAATATAAAAGGTCAAAATAAAGAAGAGAGAGGAGAAGATGAAAAACAAGGCCAAGATGAAAAAGAGGAAAAAGGGGACGAAGACAGAAACAAGAAAGTAGGATACAGAGAAAATGAAGATTACCAAAATGAAAAAAGAGATGAAGAGGATGAAGAGGGAAAATGGAAAGAAGATGAAAAAGAGAACAAACATGGAAAAGAGAAAGGAGATGATGAAAAAGATGGAGAAGATGGAAAAGAGAAAGAAGGTGGGAAAGAGGAGGAATTTGGAAAAATGGGTGAAAATGGAAAAGAGGAAGGAGATGAAGATGAGATATTTAAAATAGAGGAGGGATCTGGACAGGGAGATGAAGATGGAAATATGGAAGAAAATGCAAAGAAAAAAGAAGAAGACAGAAAAGAGGAAGAAGGAAAAGATGAAGAAGATGTGAAAGAACATGGAAAAGTATATGGGAAAGATGAAGGAGATAAAAACGAAGATGAAAACAAGGTTGAGGTTGGAAATGAAGCTGAAACAGTAGAAATTGAAAAAGAGGGTCTTTGAATATTGTCTAAAACTGCCCTATAAGGGCCAGGGATATAGCTCAGCGGCACATGTGCCTGCTTGGCAAGCACAAGGCCCTGAGTTCGATTCCTGGTACCAAAAAAAAAAAAAACTGCCCTATATAGTTTCATAATTTGGTAACATATACCCTCATACAATATTAATAGATATAAATATTTTATCACACATTTCATAAACACTGCTTTTTGGCATCATCTAATTTTGGAACATTACATAGCATATACGTTTTATTAGTCACAAAATGCCTAACATGAAACTGTAATCTAAAACTTTTGTGACAATAGTAGTGGAATATGTAAAAAAAACTTTCAATTTTGTCAGTGAATTTTCTTTTGTGTATATTACATTTAAATCTTTGAACTTGAACTGCATAGTTTTATATATATACATATATACATATATATATTTCACAATGTAGGGTTTCCAAAAGAAAAAAATTCATGCAACATTCTTATGGTTCTCTAAATTGCGTTTATAAAGAAAGTGGACTATTTTCCTTTCATTTAATGCTATGAGTTAGAATTACCTTACCCAAATATAATTTTATTAATAACTTTGGAATATATAAAGTTGTAATTCTGTTTTTGAAAAAAATATAAACATTTATTTCACAAGGGTAATTTCAATATTATGTGTTTATGAAAAGTTTTCCTATAATGCACAATGTTTTACTGGATGTATCTCAATTAAAAACACTCTTCAAAGATGATTGTGGGCTGGAGATATAGCTCAGCGGCACAAGTGCCTGCCTAGCAAGTGCAAGGTCCTGACTTTGATTCCCAGTGGAAAAAAAAAAAAAGGCTGGTTTGTTATATCTCAAAACTGTGGATAATGAAATATTATAACTCTAGATTTTTATATTGTGATGTTCATGACACCATTTAAAATTTTTCATTGAGATATAATTATGATGTGACTCACTATTTTAGTAATTTTTAAGTGTGAAGTTCATTTGTTTTTAGTATGTTCATAGTGCTTTGCAGCCATCACCACTGTCTACTTCCAGAGCATTTTCATTACCCAAATACAAAACAAAGGTACCTATTAATAGTTTCTCCCCTTTTCTCATCAACAACTCTCCACCTTCCATCCTCTGGCAATGGTTTCTGGTTTTGTGAAATTGTCAATTCTGAACAGTTCAAATAAATGAAATCGTACAATATATGTGTGTGGTTTTTGAGCTTGGCTTCCTTAACTTAGCATAATGTTTTCAGGTTTATCTTTGTTGTAACTTGTCATTACTTCCTTCCTTTTTATGGTTGAATAATAGTTCATTTTATCAAAATGCCACATATTCTTTTTTGTTGGACATTTAGGCTTCTACATTTTGTAAGTTATGAATAATTTTGCTATGAACATTCATCTACATTTTTTTCATTTTTCTTGAGTATGCATATAGGAGTGAAGTTACTGAGTCTTACACTAATTCTGCATTTGACTTTATGAGAAACTTTCGTACTTTTTCAAACTTTCGTCAACATTTCATATCCATCATCAATATATGAAAATACTAACTTATCCATATCTTTACCAATATTTACATTACCTGACATTTATTAAAATCATGTCAATAGAGTGATTTAGGGTGATAAAAGGCATGTGGAATTTTTTTTGTCATGTGGTTTTGATTTGAATTTTCCTAATGATGTTGAACATCTTCCTATATGATTGTTGGCTCTTTTTATATATTTGAAGGAGTGCCTATGCAAATCTTTTACCAATTTTTAAAATCACATTGTCTTTTTAGCATTAAGTTGTAAGGAATGTGTTTATTTTAGCTATAAGTCCATTATCAGACAGGTGATTTGCAAAAACATTTTCCCATTTTGTTGTTCTTCATTGTGTCTTTATGTCATAAAGTTGTACACTTATGTTTCCTTCTAAGAGTTTTGTATTTTTATGTGTAGGCTTTCTTCTATTTTGTG